CACCCCACCCCCCCCCCCCCGCCGCAACTCCATCTCGCTCCCGGCCTGCGCCGCCCAGGTCTTCCTGGTGCCGTTCTCGGCGGCCTCGGAGCTGTTCCTGCTCACGGCGATGGCGGTGGACCGCTACGCCGCCATCTGCCACCCGCTGCACTACCCGGTCCTCATGGACGCGGGCAGCTGTGCGCGGGCGGGCGCCCTGTCCCTGCTGGGGGGGCGGCCTGGGGCCGGCCCCCCCGGCCGGCACGTTCTCATTGTCCTACTGCGGCCCCCGGGAGCTGCGGCAGCTCTTCTGTGACATCCCCCAGCTGCTGGCTATCTCCTGCTCCAAGCAGGTGGCCGCGGAAACCGTGCTGGTCTTCGTGAACGCCGCGCTGGACGCCTGCTGCTTCCTCTGCATCGCCGCCTCCTACGTGCGCGTCTTCTCGGCGATGACCAGGACGCCATCCGCGAGCAGGCCAAGGCCTACGCCACCTGCCTGCCACACCTGGCGGTCGTCCTCCTTTTCCTCTCAACCGCTTTCGCGGCCTACCTGAAGCCCATGTTAGGGTCTGCCTCCCCCCCCACCTCGTCCCCCGACCTCGTTCTCTCAGCTGTCTATGTCGTGCTCCCCCCGGCCCTTAACCCCGTCATATACAGCCTGCGAAACAGGGCCATGCTGGCAGGTCTGGAGAAGCTCATCACAGGGAAGCTCTTGACAAGAGAGAACGTTCTCGTTTTCCTCCATAAATAGAGGCTTTCCCACCTCCCTCCTTCCCGTGCAGGTAGAGTTGGCCTAAAGCGACCCCACACTGATCTCCAGGGTTCCTGGAGTCATGTGCTAATGCTGGGCCACGCCAGAATAAAACGTGCTCCTAGTTACTAAAGAGCCTGCATTTGTGTCTGATATGTGGTCTCTTCGGGCAGTGCTAGAAAATGTGTACGCTGTCGGTGTGAAAGTTGTCAACGTGCCTTAATCCTGACTGAGGGAGTCTGGGAAGGCCATGTACAAGGTGTTTGTCACTCTGATATGCCAGAAAACAAGAACTGTCACAAGGACTCTTCTAGAACCACAACCTTGCACAAGCACTGCTGGGACCTTGTAGGACAGCTTCTGTGGGGACAGCTGCCTGGGGACTCCCTGCCCATCCTGGGCCTGATGCCACTCTCGTTACTGATCCTGGTAGCCTAGGACAGTTGTCCTGAACACCTTGTATCACTCGTTTTCCTTCTTCAAAACCTCGGCTGCCCCTTCCTCTTGGGGGTTCTGTCTCCCTGTCAGAGGCTGACAGTGTGTGCACCTGTCTCCTGGAGTTGGGACACATCTTGGTTTTGAGTCCTGGGCTAGAGCATGGCAAACCCTAGATGACACTGAAGCTTCCAGGGGCCTGGGCTCTGTAGAGGAAGTGACTCCCAGTGACTCAGAAAGGACTCTGGGTGGGCCTGAGTGTTCTGGACCTCACTCGGAGTGAGTGGCACTTTCTCATGCACTCCTTTATAACTACATGAACACATGGACACACTTTTCTTTAAAATTTTCAAAGTAGACTGAAAAACACACTGGGTGCATACATGTTTGCTCAAGGATGCTGAAGGGATGAGAAATGAAGGAAAAGGAATTTCACCAAGACCAGGCCTGGTTGGGGAGTGCTTTTTCTCTCTATTTCTTTCCTCTCTTGTGCTACATGTAAGCCCTTTAGCATTAACAAAATTCAGAGAATAGCACTCATGACATTGTATTATATGTTACATTCCTATTCATTAATGTTTGTTTAATTACATATAGGCCATGGGTAGTTAAGTAAAATGTCTAGTACGAAATAATTTTATAATGATATTTTTTATGCATATAACTGCTTTTCAAAATGGATCTGCACAATGATTAAGGGAGCCAGATCCCACATGACTGTCCACCACTCAAATCCTGGCCCTTGTGGCTTGAAAAGCATGCATGCACCCCCAATCCCAACATGGCGGAGAAATGGAGAAGCAACTGTGGCATGACCATGCCCCACTAAGGGGTGCTTTCTCCCTCTCTTCCCCTCTCTCTCTCTCTCTCTCTGTCTCTCTCTGGTCAAGTTAAAAAATAATAATAACAAATGGTTTTAAATAAATAAATAATTCTTTTTAAAAAAGAAATTTTTTAAAAAAAGAATAAGAGAAGACAGCACTTTAGAACACTACTTAATGTAGACTTGAAGCACTATAAGACTTGTGAAAAAAAGTATTAAAATTATGGAAAAATAAAATACTCTTATTTTTTTTCTTCCTAACCTGAGTTGAACGTCAACCTGGATTTGTTAGAAATGTGCAAAATTGATCCTGCAGCTTTGACTGGAATGTCACATCTGTAGATATAGCCAGAAAGCTAAGAAACTAAGTTTGATCTCAAGAAAGCCAACAGAGGGACCAGCAGTTGGAGTAATGGCTGTGTCGCTGGACTCCCATGTAATTGCCTGCAGTTTGAGTCCCGGATCTGGTGGCTTCAACTCATGCTGGGCACATGCACATGCATGCCCAAAATCCCGAGAAGAGAATGGAGGAGAAGGGATTGTGGTGTGGTCATCCCCCTGGGGGTGATTTCTCACTTTATGTCTCTCTGTCTTCCTGATGAGAGCATGTGCCCTATAGCAAAAACCTCTCCAAAAATAAATAAACAACTAAATAAATAAAGGTGTTAAGCTATAAGCATGCAAACATGTTCTCAATTTTAAAATATTTGTTAAATTCTCATTGTGCAAGAATGTTATACATTGTTACTTTTGAGATTGAGGTATCAAAAAATATGAAACATATGTTTAAGAATTTACTAGAAAAAATTATAAAAATTTAAAAAGTGTGAAAATAATTATTAGACAGGTATATTTAAAAAATAATGAAGTGGAACTAAATGAAAATATATTATTACTGAAATTAAAATTATAGCTAATACTTAAGTAATTCATTAAGAATAGTTAATAAATTTAAACATGAAAAATGAGTAAACAGAACGTTTTAAAGAGAAAAAGTAAATAAAATTTTATAAATACACAGACACAATACATTAAATTGGGAATACGGAGAATAAGAAAGAAAATAAAAAATGAGAAGGCAGAGATATAATGTTTAGTGCTAATAGCTCACATTTTTTAAGCAATAAAAGTGTTGCATCCATATGTTTAGGAAGAACAGTGTATCTTACTGAAGTAGGCCAGCTTAAGATTTAACAGGACAACAGCCATGTTGAAATTAAAAAAGGCCTCTGATGAGAACAATCTAACCAACTACTGAATAATGAGAAGGTCTGTTAGAAGATGGTCAGGTGAGAAACCAGGAAAGGGTATTTAAAGGAATACAGGAATCACAGGCTGGCAGGGGGCATGGTGGTTAAAGGTGTTGGACTCCCACATGGCCAACCATGGTTCAAGTCCCAGACCTAGCAGCTTGTTCTTTCACTTTCTCTCTCTCTCCCTCTCCCACTCTGGTCAAATTAAAAAAAAAAAAAGAGAGAGAGAGAGAGAGAGAGAGAGAAAATAATTAAATGAAGTTAAATAAAATAATTCTTAAAAATAAAATGGGAATCAGGATAATTACTCAAGGGAAAAGCAAATGACTGTGATTGATGATAGTGAGGAATTATTTGCACCTGTTTCTATCTTGTATCTGCAAATATTGAGATCATGTTGAGCTTTTCAAGAAACATCATTGGTACTTACTTACTGTCTCTATGTAACTGGCCGCAGAAATAAATTCACTTCTTCTCCAGCCTCTGCCTCTCATTTCATTGACCATGAGAAACAGCAGCTGGATTTAGTTGACTGGCAACACAACTCGATAGATAAAAACTGTTAATAAATTTCCCTGAAAACAAATTTGGAAATAAAGAGGAAGAAGTCCTTCTACAACTTGAAGGAGGAGATAGACACCATAAAAGATAATCGAACATAATTTGTAGAGATGAAGACTATAATACCAGACATCAAAACTTCCCCGTTAAGTATTAATAGCAGATTAAACCATAAAGAAGATCAAATTCCTGATCTATAAGACAAAATCTCTAACCTAAACAAAAATCACCAAAAAGAATGACCCCCATCACCATGAAGATAACATACACAACATACTAGACACCAATAAATACTCAAACATCTGAATAATTGATGCTCTGGCAGGTGAAGCATCTAATAAAGGCATCAAAAATCTATTCCATGAAATACTTGAAGAAAACATTCCACATCTAGAGAAACATTCAAACATCCAGATTCAGGAAATACAAAGGACTCTAAATAGAGTCAACCTAAGAAGATCCTCTTCACAGCACATCCAAGCTAGATTGGTCAAAATCACAAAGACGAGATTCTAAAAATGGCAAGAGGGAAACATCAAGTTACTTACAAAGGTTATCCCATTAGGCTAACATCAGACTTCTCAACTGAAACAATGCAAGCAAGGAAAGAATGACATGATATATTCAAAACACTGAAAGAAAAATAATTTCAACCAAGAATACTATACCCAGCAAGACTTTCCTTTACATGGGAAGAATAAATAAAAATATTCTCAGATAAATAAAAACTGAAAGAATTCACAAACTCTAGACCAGCTCTTCAAGAAGTACTGAGGGGATTAAATTCTCCAATCAAAAGACACAGACTGGGTGAATGGATAAAAAAACCAGAAACCCTCGATTTGCTGCCTACGAGAAGTGCACCCCATGAATAAGACATACAAAGACTAAAAGTGAAGGGCTGGAACAAAATATTCCAAGTGAAAGGAAATGAAAAAAAAAAGTCTGGGGTTGCAATTTTGATACCAGAAAAATAGACTTTAAGACAAAAACTGTAAGAAGAGACAAAGAAGGACACTGCACAGTACTAGAAGAGTAAATTCACCAAGAAGATTTAACCTTTATAAATATCTACGCACATGTACCCAAATACATGACAGATAGACTGCTTGGTCCAAAAGGGTAGATAGGCAAGACAATAATGTTGGAGATATCAACACCCACTGTCTGCTCTGGAAAAATGGTCTAAACAAAAAAATAAGCAAAGAGATACAGCATCTACATGATACCATAAATCAAAGGAACTTGTCAGACATCTATAGAGGTTTCTACCCAACAACCACAAAATATACATTTTTCTTATCCCCACATGGAACATTATTGAAGATTGACCACATGATAGGGCACAAAATAAGCCTTTACAAATTCAAATTGACAGAAACTATATCTAGCATATTCTCTGGCAATGGTGGAATTAAACCTGAAATTAACAGCAAAAGAAATCTTTGAAAATATACAAAAACAGGGGCTGGCAGGTGGTGTGATGGCTAAAGACTCTGGATTCCCACATGGCTGACCATGGTTCGAATATCAGACCTGGCAGCTTGCTTTCTCATTCTCTCTCTCTCTCTCTTCAAATTAAAAAAAATAAATAAAGTTAAATTAAAAATTCTTTTAAAAAATGATAGAAAATACACAAAAACATAGAAACTAAACAACTTACTTCTGAATGGCATTACAACCACTGAAGAAATTAAGACTGAAATAAAAAAATTACTGATACTTTTTTTATTTTTGTTTTTATTTTATTTCAAGTTCTTTTATACATATAATCACATTATTTAGCTTGCAAAGTGAATATTCCAACACGTGTACATTTCTCCCCAGTCCAGTTGGTAATACTATAAAGTTATCTTTAACAGATTATATGTCATTTCTTTGCCCCATTAATGCTTTGCCTCTCAATTTTTCTCCTTCATGTTCTACTT